CTGACAGAAATGGTAATTCTGTCATCACTTACTTATCCTCATGTCGTTCCAAGCCTGTATGACTTTCTATCTTCCGCGCAACACAAAGAAGATATTCTTAAAGATGTCTCAGTGTTATTAGACCCCATTGAAACGGTATGAACAAAAACAGTTTAAACATTCTTCAAAATACCTTTTGTCTTCCACATGAGAAGAAAAAATCATACAGGATTGGAAATTACACAATTTTCTTTTTTGAGTGAACATCCATCCCCAACAATATCCTCATTTCTTTTTAGTGAAACCATAAAATCATTAAGAGCTAAAACAAAAAATAATTAAATAATAAATGTCTATAAATAAATTTTCACTTTAGTATCCGCCTAGGTTTATGCCATATTGAACACATTTGTGCTGGAACTGATTACATCAAAAATAATAACAATTAAACTCATCACCAAATCATTAATACTCCTAGACTGAACACAAATGATTCTCTGAATCTATCCTGAACAGATGGTTAATAGTAAACACAAGCTAATGGAAAAATACTATCAATAGTAGTAGCATTGTCATCACTTGTGCAAGAAGTTTAAATGCATCATGGGAAACCCACACTGCTCTGCTAAAACTTGATATGCAATCATTAGGATACACACAAAAAAGCATTGCACACTGGGGAAAAAAACAGAAAAGTATAGGAAGGCCAAGAGGGTGAAAAACCCTTCACTCGCTGAAGGGCAAGTAAATAAACTAAAACAACGATGATACAGAGTCAGCCAGGCATGACACACAAACCCTTGGGCGAAGTGGAGAATGCACAGTAGTGGCAGCTCTGTAGACTTCTCACAGCGCTTGATTAATATCAAAGACAACTCTGAAGAGTTGACTCACACACTAAGTAAACTTCCATTCAGGAAAAAGACATCCTATAAGCTGCTTAGTGACTCACAAATGCATATATGTGCTGTTTTTTTCCTTTTGTCGCATTGAGAACAAGTGTAGACATGCTAACCCTTTCTGCCTCCATTCACAAATATGTCCATTTATCAGCCTGAAGAGGCCCAGTCATCAGTGGGAGGGAATCTAAACCCCCTTAGCTCTCTCCTAAGATTTCAGAACGGGAATTTCCACCAAAGACTCAAACTACACAGATAAATGGGGGCTGATTTTATAAATAATAACATGATATGCATATTACCTATTAAATGTTCTAGACAGGCATGATAACACAAAGACACTAAGAAATGTATAGCTCAAACATGCCAGTACTCAAAACACAGCATTCAAGGTGCTCTTTTGATAACCATTCTTAAACAAACACTTGGTCTTACCTTCTCTGCTTGTGAGATTCCCTCTGGTCTCATCTGATTTCTGGAAGTTTATACTGGAGTAGGCTCTGAGCTCTTTTATACCTTCGACAGCTCCCAGCTCCACTGGCCGAGATTGGAACGCATTCCAGTCTGGAACATGCTGCTCTCCATTCTGCACCAGATCCAGATCGATGTAATTCAGGCCGTTCTGGTCATGGTTTGTTAATGTGGGAATTGGGCCTGAAGTGTTTTCCCTTCGTCCGTTGGTTAATGTAGATGCAGGTGGAGCGGCCGAAGCAGCAGACGCTTCACCGGGTCTTAACCACACATTCTCGAAAGAGGCGGAGCTGTGGCGCTTTACTTCCCCTGACTGACAGGTGGTCGACGTGTCAACTGACCCTCTGGTTGTAGTGGAAGCAAAAGTTTCTGAACTGTGTCGTCGTCGACCCTGTGGGTCAGCCCGGATTACTTTAGCCCCTTGGTTCTGCCCAGTAGTGGAGTTTACCCGTGTGAATGCACTAAGACCTGACAAAGAGCCGATCAGAGCTGGTCTTCCTGGAGCACCGCTTAATGCCGTCACATCATGATTGGGTGATACAGAACGAGGAGGGGCATTATCTGCATCCGGCAAGGCCTCAGTCATCAGCATCATTTGAGTATCTGGAAAGCTAGTGCAGGATGATAACTGCATGCTGATGTAGTCACGGTCACATATGCTCTCACAGGGAAGTGGAGGGGAGGATACAGAGTTTGATGGAGTAATTTTGGCATAGTCTGAACAGGAAGTGGAAATCTGCATTTCTGGGGACAAATGCCCGGCTGGCCTCGACCCCAACTGCATGTTCATGTACTCAGATGATGAAAGGTCTGATGGGGCCTCAGCATCACTTCCGGAAAACACAGGTGGGAACAGTGACGCCAAGCTCGCCGAAAACGCCTTGTCGTTGAATTCAATGTTGACATACTCACCAGGACTTTTGGGCTCTGTGGGGAAGGGACTCTCACGTGTTCGTGGAAGAGTACTTGCTTTGCTAGTGTCCAGTGACAGACGTGTTGGACGTGTCAGCCTCCCGTTGCCCTCTGACCTTTTGGGTTTGACAGCAGACTGCTGCGAGTTGCCTTGACCACCCAAGCTGTCGCTGCTCGCTGAAGAAGAGGAAGAGTCGGCGTATGCCAATCGACTAGAGCCTAGAGACATCCGAAGAGGGCTCTGGTCCTGCTTCCTGTTGGCGTGCTTAAAGGAGCGGGGCAAAGAGAAGTAAGCATACATCGGCCTGGGAGGATCTTCTACAAGGTTGAAAAAGCAGTCTGGAGGCGTGCTGGTCGTTGAACCACTAGCCGAGGACATGTTTATGTAGTCTCCACAAGATGACACTTTACCTTCCATGCTCTCTACAGAGAGCTTAGGGTTGACGCCATTAGTCCAGATCTTGCCATAGTTTGTTGTTCCATCTGGAGAGCAGCTGCCACTTGGTGACATCATCATGTAACCATTGGAGTCAACATGCGAGTGTTGCCGGGGGTTGATAATTTGCTGTGGTGCAGACACACTTTTTGCACTCATGGGCATGTAGTCACCGCTTTTCGCCGTTGGGGTCATAGGCGCAACTCCTGGCAGCATGGGCATGTAGCCATCATCTTTGTGATCTGGTCTACTGTGGTCTTTAGCTTGTGAAGTGTCTATACCTTCCTCTGGGTATGAATGTGTTGGCATGAAGGAGTGCCTGTATGTTGACGATGATGACGATGCAGAGCGGCTTCTTGGGTATGTGGGCATCATTACAGTATATTCCTCCAGCGAAGTAGCGGACGATTGTGAGGGAGTTTTTTGATGGCACGGAGTTGGCGGCGATGCACCAGAAGAATGCGTTCGCTTCCGGAAATATTTCTCCAGCTCGGGCTCCTCCAGTCTCGATGGCGTTCCCCTGGATTGGCTTCGCGATTGGCTCCCGGCACCAGGAAGTGAACCAGGCTTGGCCATGCAGATGTAGTTGTTTATCTCTTCCTCCCTGGCAGGTGGCGTGTGGCCAAGTGAGTCTGGAGTCACGCTACGGAAGGAGCTTCGAAAGTCACAGGGGCTGGATCCATATTCATCCGAGGAGATGAATCCGCCGTCACTGGGCGATCCAGATATGGAGGCACTAGAGCGGCGTGGAAAGAGGCAGTCAGATGTGGATCCGTGGCCGCTGGTGCTGCTGGAAGACAGGCTGACGGGGCTGATGGCTGAGGGGGAGCACCGTGAGGTGGGCGTGGGGATTGATCTGCTGTGATTGAGTGGCGGGTGAAGTCTGGAGGATCCACCCCTGTGTCGCTGCGATTGAGGTCGGGCTGTGCTCGGACTGCTTGGACTACCATCAACGGATGCCGGTCTGGACATGGTGCCCTCCCCATCGCTGGACGCTCTCACTCTGAACGAATGGCTGTGTTTGCCAGGTCTAACAGGAGAAGTGGCCGTCACACTCTCTGCCCGAGAGCGCCGGCCTAAGCCAACTTGACTGGGGGGAGGATTGTTGTGATGATGCCTCCTGACAGGTACTGAGATGGGGTTTGAGCAGTTAGAAGATGACTGACTTTTGCTGCGGGGTCTGAAATCCTCACTCATGGCTTTCATGGCTTCTAATATAGTTTCATGCATGTTCTGAGCCACAACGGAGTCGTCCACTTGCATCCAAAACTCCCCGGGCCCCGTCACAGCAGATCTCCCGACTTCAATGAAAAAGAAATTTTCAGAGTGACCACATCTCCTAATGTTCATTAACTGCAGGACCACAGCAGCTGCATCAGAATTGAGTTTCACAAAACTGATAGTTTTATTGCTGAGGCATAATCTGTAAACACCAATCAAGTTCTTTGCGTGACCCAGACCCTTTGCTTTCAAAATAACCTGCCAAACCTCTTTGAAGGCAGGTCCCGGCGTGGCTTCGCCGTACTTATCCTCGCCAACTCCGCGGCCCGCGGCAGTTTCGTGGACCTTACCTCTGTTATGAAGATCAACCAGGGCTTGATACCACGACTCCTGCTCTACCTCGCTGTCAGCAGCGATGGCGAAGTACTCATCCTTGGTATAAAGCGCGACGAGATGTTTGTTTTTAGAATCCGCTCTTTTGTTGATGTTAAAGCAGCTCTCCAGCGGAATGGACCGTTTCGGTGCTCCAGACTTGTGTCTCCACTTCTTCTCGTTTTCATAGTACTCCAGTCGGGACGGTCCGGAGGCGCTCGCCGCCCTCAGTACAAAAAACCTTTTGTGCATGCTTTTGGGTTTCCTTAAATAACCCACCTTCTTCACGTCCGAAAAACATCCTTGCTCCGTGGTCGGGCTTGCCATGGTATAAAAAAATAAACTATAGAAAAATCGCAGGATTGAAAGTCAAAGCGTTATGCATGTACTCTTCCTCAAACAAGAGCGCGGAGATAAAAATGGTTCCATTGAGTAAAAATTGAAAAATAGCACTTAAACAAGTCACTTTTGTGCGCTCCGTCAAGAGCTTCAATTATAACCGTTCATCGACACAGTAGTACACTTGGATTTTTTTTCAGCAGCATTACATTGTTACAACTAAGTTTAAATAATCCATCGGACATCCTCAAAAATATTGCAAGTACCGGAAAGCACCAAGTTTATGATGTAAAAAACACAAAACAGTAAAAATTACAAAACAGTGTCCTTTTCAGTCCGGATATCCGAATGCATTATCAAAACAAGCGCAGTCAGCAGCGCACGACCCCATTTACCCCGGAGATCAAAGCGCTGTCTGCAAAAATCCCAAAAGTGCAATTACATAAAGCACCGACGCAAAGTATGCATCTGACCGTTATTTACAACGGAAACGTACCAAATCCGTTTGAATTGCTGCATAAGTTCCTCTAAAACTCGCTGAGTTTTCTTTTTTGCGACGCCGTAACAGACCAAAACAAGGCACCGCTCGTGTATGTTTGTAAGGAGGAGTTGAGACTGGGGGGTTGCAGCCTAGCTTGTTACGATACAACTAAGAATCCCGCCCCTTTTGGAACTGACCTCGTTTGATTGGTGAGATCTACTGTCAATCATCACAGGGGGCTGTGAGAGACATGTGATTCAAACGAAGTGGTGGGGTTTTTGATTCTTCCCAGTGACTTGAATCTTTCGAATTAGTTCACTAAAAAGATTCATTTTCACTGATTGTATATTTGGTCTTTTCTGCAGGATGCGTCGTGAAGCCAGTAAGAGAACGATTCGTTTACTTAAAAGATTCATTCAAATGAATCATCCACTATAAAGTTTTATTTAGAGGCAGTGATGAACAGACGCTATGTAATATATGCACTGCAGTTATTTATAAACACACAATTGTAAAACAGAAAGTCGGTCATACTTTACAGTATATGTTATTGTCTATTTACATAGATAAATATAGTGACTAACGAACATATACTTCAGGTGTAATTGCATTGCGGAGGTGCTTTGAAGTACACATTGTTATTGTTATTATTACTATGGGGATTAATTATAGTTACATAAAATGTGTGTAACATGCAGCGTAATGAAAAGTGGAATTCTTTCTTTCCAGCTGGCGGAGAATCGGATAATTAACTGTCCGGATCACAGAATT